TGCTTCTATAATTATTCTCAAATTCGATCCCTAATTTACCAAACAGCCTCTTGGCTTATAAAAATCTTTACAAATTAAGTCCCACAACTACACTTTAACCCCTGGAGTTCAATTCTTGTCATTCGACTTCCCGAAATCAACAACCCACTAATTATTATTTAATTTCTGAGCTCTAACAATATAAAAATAATAATAATTACTTCCCAGAGTTCCTGATTTATTATATAATTAATCCCTTTAAAATGGGATGTTACAATGTTAAAATGTTATAAAACTAGAAATCAAATATTAGGTTTAAGCCTACGCACAAAATGGATTAAGTCGCAAGAAATTATAGATAATACCGTCTTAATTGCTTATAATAATATAACTCAACACATAATAAGCCTTAATGCAGTATGGTTCGTGGTGGTTGACATACGGACCTTAAACTATTTTTGTCATTTGTTTCACCGTTGTTCTTTGACCAGACAGTTATAAAAGCCATTATCAGGCGTGGTATTAACTATACAAAAGGTGTATGTAGTCAATATGAGATTTGTTCCTCTTATATGTTGAAATTTAGACATCTAATATGCGCTACCAAAAGTTGATTACTAAATGAGATTGATCGCGATCTGTATCTCATGTTCAACAGGATGTCTGTAACAAAAGGGATAACTGATAAGATTACCTTATACATCAATGGAAGCTGTGAGCTTTTGGGAAATTGGATATTGATATAATGAAACTAAGTCATATATTACTAGGGGCAGTGAAATGTTGCTAGATGTTCCCCACTAGCTATATCAATGTAGAATGAGTCTTATGCATGTAGGAGATTGAAAGATATGTATGCTCAATAATCATTATAGAATGATATTTGTTAGATAATATATGAACCTAAATGGTCATACTAACAACAACTTGATACAAATATTTTATTTATAATAATTTGATTCTTTATAAATATTTATAACTCTGTAATTAATTGGAAATTATTTATTTTACAGAAATATTAATTTTTACTGTTAAGTATCAAAATATATCATAATGTATTATTTATTATATCATGTACATCTTTTGGACGAAAATGGTTTTTTTTGTCTTATATGGATATATTTGAGTTTATAAGTCATAAAAGATTGGAAGATTTTGATAAAAATCCTTCTTTCTTTTTAAAACTTGTAACATGAAGAGATGAGACAAGAACTAGTTGCTTTTGATTTGTTTAATACTTATGACATGCTTTAAAAGCATGGCTAGTTTAGATAATGAGACATGGGTCTTAAAGTGTTGAGACCCATGGATTAAAGACTAGCTACAAGGTGATAAGAACTTGGAGACTTGCTTCTTTTTTCACTAGTTGTAAAATCTGAATTTTATGTCCCTCTCACCATCTTTCTCTCTAGTTTTCTTAGGGGTTAAGAACAAAAGCAAGAATATGTTGATACTTTGAATTCTCTCCTTTAAGATAAACTTTTTCTTTTTCTCAAAGGCTTAAGAGATTATTTTTATTACAAGAATGACTAACATCCATTTAAAGTTGACAAATTATTGGTGTTTCTATTTAGGTGTAGTTCTACATCTAAATTCTTTATCAACTTCTAACATCCCAAGAGGAATCAAATGTTGTATTCTTTTCTTCCTATGATTGTTTTAATCTTTCCATGTTTGCAAAATAACCCTTCGTGTGTTAAAATAATTTCAAGTTTATTCAACATTTTAAAGCTTCCGTTGTCGTTTCTAGTGTTTTTAGAAACATATATTTGAATAAAACCCAACAAGTTAAAGACATAAAAATAGAAATAAGAGAAGAGGAGAGTATGCTAATTGAGGGATGAGATGATGAAAGGTGTAGTGTTGGAGGGGGTGTTGGGAGACAATGCACGTAGCTAAAAGAAGGAACATGCAACGGTAGGAAGGAGAGATAGGGGAAATGGAATGAAACGATTGTATTAGACATTGAAAATGATCTACGACACGACAACCGTGTAGAGATGGGAGTGTGTGTGTGAGTGTGTGAATGTGTGTGTGTGAGAGAGAGAGAGAGACCAAAAGTGGAACAATATTAAACCATAAAGACAACCCGTAGCACAATTGAAAAAAACCGACTTAATTCAATAAACCTACATAACTATATGGACCATTTCTGCAATTCACTCAAAATTAAAACTAACCCAAAACACACCTTGGCGGTCGAAACACGGACATAAAAAGGACGTTATCATGTTCCAGCTCCCACTCTGTAAACTCGACACTGGAACTAGTTCCTTGTAAGCCAAACCCTGATATCCACTGAATAACCATGTCGAAAGAACTTCCAAAAGATGTAATCATCGACATCCTCTCGCGTGTTCCCATCAGATACATCCTCCGTTTCAAATCCGTCTCCAAATCATGGTACGCTCTTTTCAAAAACCCTAAATTCATAACCAAACATTTCGAAAATCAAACCACAAGCTCCGATGTCACTGCCCTGGATGCATCTTTCCTTTTTACCCCTCACAAGTCGTCGTCTCCCCCTACCGCCGCCGCTAATCGTAACGTTGGATTGATCCTATCGAACTCTGAAAAACCAATCAAAATTCCCATTGAGATCGACATCCCGTTTCTCAGCATCTCAAAACCCTTACGGGTCTGTGGCAGTTGTAATGGTTTAATCTGTTTGAGCATTTTGCCGATTGCATCGATTATCTTGTTATGGAATCCTGCTACTAGGGTTTTCAAAGACCTCCCTGTATCCCCAATTGATCGACCCCAAGCTGGTCCGATTAAGGTCGTATTAGGTTTTGCGTTTGATGATGTTACGAACGATTATAAGGTGTTGAGGATTGTGTATTACGGTTACCCATTGAATCAAGTGGAAATGTACTCGTTGAATACAAATACGTGGAAGGAGATTAAGACTCGTGTGCAGTTCTTGATCTTTGAGTCATCGTGTAGTGTGTTCTTGAAAGGTAGGTTTCATTGGACAGCTATAGGGTTCGAGGAGATGCATGGGAAGAAGCTGATTGTGTGTTTTGATTTCCGTGAAGAGGCTTTTCACTATATCATGCCCCCTGAGTTCGATTTTGGTGGATGGGATGCTGAAGGTGAAGATTCAAGTATGTCTAAAGTCAGTTGGACTGCTGTAGCTTTTAAGGATTCATTAGCAGTGATTGGTTCAGCTGGGAATGGATCTGGGAAGAGGTTTGAGGTGTGGGTGATGAAAGAATATGGGGTGGTTTCTTCATGGACAAAGTATAGGTCTTTTGAACTTCAAACCAAAGTTGGGAGGCCATTGGGGTGTGGATTGAAAGGTGAGTTTTTGTTGGAGAAGGATAATAATCAGTTGGTTTTATATGATTCAGATTCTCAGAGGATCAAGAATTTGGGGAATCATGGAGTTGCTTATTGGTCTGATGTGTTTAATTATGTTGGAAGTTTACTTCCTATCAATGGAGGGAAGGTTGCTCAAAGAACCAATTTATCATCTGTGGTTCCTGACATCTTCTTTGTTCGAAAGATGGACCTTACAATCGAGTAATTTTCCCTGCTAATCTTTATCTTTGACTTAATGTTGCTTAATTAGATTACTATCTATCATACCCTGTTGTAGTTGTTGAAACTTATTTCATATCAGTATGTTGTTTTCAATCCATGTTATAGATAATATGTTGTGTTATCTATCATGTTCTATTTTCCCAAGCTTCATGGGGTATTGAGTAGTAGTGCATCATCTATACAAAAAGGTGACATTTGCCTGTTGATCTTGTAGAAGATTGGAGAATTGATTAAAAAAGGGTAAAACCTTCTCATATTGACCCACTTCTTGTGATTCATATGGTAATTAAATGCAAGAAAGAAGTCAAGAATAAAGTACTTGCATTGATTTGTTCATTATAGCATCCTCCTACTTTTTTATATTGTGTATGAAGTTTAAGAATGAGTTAAAACAGATTAAAATGAAAAGCAACAACTTTTAGCTGTTTTTTTCTTCTTTCAATACCATATCAGTTGCTTATCTTGTTAAAGTATATTAATAATAATTGTTACAACATAAACTTTACATTAAATAACAGAAATGGAATAGTGTCACTAACATAGACAAGAAAATCCATTTAAACTTGTTTCTAAAAAGAATAACACCTTGATTTCATTTGAAATCTAGTGTTTGAGCTGAAATAAGGGAGATTCTTTATAACATTTTCAACCTCCAAAAATGTCATCATTTTATGAATTATGATATATTATAAGTAACGACGTGCCATTAGCCCATTATTCTTTTCACATACACAATGTTTATAATCCACTAGTTTTATCATGACAAAAAGAATAAGATACCTTATATCTAGAACCTACCATAAGTGCATCTTTTTTTAACGGCCATAATAAGAGAATAAAGCACGCTAAGTGTGAAATTTTAATTTCAGCACACAATAAAAAAAGTGGAAGGAATCAATCCTTAAAATATATATACGCCTATAATTGCTTCTAAAATTTCCATTCTATAAAAAGTAGAACACTGCTTTTTATATGCGTGTACAATTATCCTCTAGCAGTGTTTTTCTAACATGAATAGCCGCAACAACAATCTCATGCACACTGTCTATTGGCAACATGCTGATGCACCTTATGAAGTATCTTCAATATCACTTGTTCCTAGCTCTATGCCTGTAAGTAACTGCTATTTTTTTTTTTTAATTTCTCAAAATCTTGGATTACAACAAAGTTAAATTGATATTTGGATGAGTATCTTACTCTAATTCTTTCAAAATACAAATCCAAACACCCTCTGAAGTTCTTGAAACATACAATACCATCATCAACGGATTTTATTTTCCAAGACAATTAATTTAATCTTTTAAAAACCTTTAGGGTGTTGTAGGTCGAATGGGTTCATTGGGGTCCACTCAGGACAGAGTGTATGGGCTACCCTTTGCCTTTAGGTAATATTTTAACATTTGATGTGTAGATTTATTAAGTTATTTTTTCTTCATTAAATAAAAAAGAAACAACACCTTAAACTTATTTTTTCTTTAGGGTTACATCTCAACCTCCGATACAAAACGTATCACGCAATACCACCAACCAAAGAAACAGATACCCGAGGCAAACATCAACCACCCAATCTCCAATTTTAACCGAGCAAAATAAAGGGCTTGAGAAGCTTAAGAAAGAAATTTACAACCCGGGGTTGCAAAGGGTAAGTTTATATTATAGGGATCCTGATTTTAGAGCCAAATCACGAGAGAAACATAACAAAGAAGATGGCAAAAGATGTGCGGTTTGTTTAGACGATTTTGAAGCGGGAGAAATGGTGACATTGACACCGTGTAATCATATGTTTCATGGAGATTGTATTGTGCCATGGGTGAAGAGTAATGGCCAATGTCCGGTTTGTCGGTTTGTTATTAGTGATAGGAGTAAAGAGCGTGAAGGAATGGGAACGAGTGATAATCACAGGGTTGTGGTGGGAGGTGATATGGTTCCAAGAGATTTGATTGATTTTATTAGACATATGGAAGGTAGAAGTTGATCTTGAAAGGAATAGTGTGTTATGTTTGGCATTTTTCTTATTTTGTATCTAATCGAAGAAAGAAATGATGCCACTATCTGTCTTCATTTTGTTGATGTATATATATGTCAAATGCAAGAAATATTAATGTATGTCTATTCATTTGTTTTTATAGTGTTTTACTTTTTATTTCTTCATGTTATAATTGCTACGCCTCATATATTTAGGCAATTTAGGTTTTATTTATGTTAGAGCAGTATTTAGCTAGTAACTAGAGGAAATCCGTTGCGGATGGGGGTGTTGGATTTTATGCAAAAAACTTTTCATAAATAGAACAAAAAAAAATGATCACAAAGGAATTGAGTGGTTAATCTCTTCAAAAATAACTATTAGTTTGTTCCATTCTGGATGATTATTTTTCTTGATGTGGCATGGATATGAATAAATGACGTGACATGTATTTAAACAATCACATGAATAGTAATCAAGTTCCAAATTTCAACATCTTCACATGTTTTGATAAACATACCAATCACACGAATAGTAATCAAGTTCCAAAACTTATAACTAACATCTCTAATGTTTCAACATCTTCACATGTTTTGATAAACATGCCATGTCATATGTCAAGATCATCATACAATTTTTCAAAACAGTTTAACAAAAGTTTGGAAGTTGAGTGATAAAATCTATTAAAAAAGAAGTTGGACGTACGTAGGTGGAAAAAGTCTGAAACTTGATTATTATTCGGTGGGGACATTGTCTCTTACTTAAAACTAGAAGTTACCAACTCTCTGTTTCGCGAGGGACGCAAACGTATTTGTCCATTGTCAATAGAGGTTTAGTTTTGAGAACTTTTTGGTTCATCATGCTATTTCTTTGGGTTTATATGACTAACTTCAATTTATACCGTTGGATGAAAACATATTATATGTGACAAAAGTTATACGTGAGAAACGTATATTGTTTGTGGGATCAAAGTTGCCCACATATGAAAGTGTAGTGACCAAATCTACAAATTTTCTATTAGGTAGGGATTATTTTTGAAATTTTTTAAAACATATGGATCGTTTCTGTAAAAAAAGTTATGCAACGACATTTTCTGCAAATTGTGGGGACAATTTTTGTAATTTTTTTAAAACTATGGACAGTTTCTGTAAAAAAAAAATACACGATATTTTCTATAAATTATAGGGACAATTTTTTTAATTTATTTTCTGCATAAGATCAAACCTTTTAACATACAAAATCTTAGATATATGGATTATTTTTGTAAAAAAATAAAGTTTACAAGGACCTTTTTATAAATTAAAAAACTATAAGGACTAAATTTACCAAAATATGAAACTTTTATGACAAAACTCTGAAGATATTACTTCATAAGTCCATTGCTTAGAGTAACGTTTTTAAATGTGAATAAAATGTTAAAAATTATTCCATGTTAGCCATGATTAGATCGTGAAATTGGTACTCACAGATCCTAACAATAAAGATGCAACACAACAAACCAACAGACATTTTTCGTCTCGGATAAAATAGTAAAAAAAATCAATGGAAAATATATTAAAAGAAT